CCCTACTTTCTCTGTCAGTACATCCTAAATAAGAATAAACAGATAAGGACTTGGACAGATAATGAGATAAGATTTGTATCACGTGAAAAGCCTTGATATAAACCAACTTTCGGTAAATCCGCCAACAGTCCTTACTTTGGTGTAAGCTGCCTCATATATATCCTTCACGAGCCTTACATACTTCTCAGGAACCCATTTTTCTTTTGCACATCTTCATAACTCTTGTCTTAAAACTGTGTCGTACGCCTTCTTAAGATCTATAAATATCAAATGCGGCTTTTCTTCTCGTTGTATTTTTCTATCAATTGTCTCAATGCAAACAAGGCATCCGTTGTCCTTCTTCCTGGCATAAACCCAAACTCTTCGTCTTTTGATGTCTGTCTCTTCCTTTGCTCTACAGTAGTTCTCTTCCAAATTTTCATTATGTGCGACATTAACTAAATCCTTCTGTAGTTCTTACAGTCCTGAATGCCCCCTTTATCTTTATATAATGATACCATCATACTCTCTATCCATATATCCTACTCATGATTTCCACAGAATATCAACCCCTTCCTTTCCTTGAGTCTTCCAAACCTATACAAATATTCTATCAAGCCCTACTGCCTTACCGTTCTCTGTCCTATTTAACGTCTCAACAACTTCATTTCTCGCTATCCGCGGTATTACATAATCATTTGGGATCCCGCATCCTCTATCTCTCCTCTTGTGTTCTTAAGTTAGCATATTTATGGTATAAGCAACTTTCTAAAGTACTCTTTCATCAGCCTTCTTAATCTGCTACGCGTGCGTCAAGTTCTTTGATGACTTGTCCCTTGCTTTAGCAATGCTGTATAACCTTTTTCAACCCGTTGGTTGTTTTCATCTCTTCATACAGCTATGCAGAAGATCCTCCCTTAGCAGTAGCTACAGTGTGCTTTGCTTCTCTCTTTTCCCTTGTATATATGCGCTGTACAGTAAACAAAAAAAATTTAAAAGGACAATCAAAATTAGTAAATATATGATCATCTTAAGCGAAATAGCAAAAAACAAGGCCAAAGAAGGTGTAGCCTTACTAAAACACGAAAGATACCAAAACCACATTACATTAAAGAGTGTCAATACGTATCAGAAAGAACTGCATCGGCTAAGATAAGAGTGAAGAAGGAAAACCTAAATATCATCGGAGTATACGGCCCAGAAAATAACAAGCCTTAAATAACTAGGCAAACATTTTATGCCGAATTGCAATAAGTAGTAGTTCAAGTCTGAGGGAAGATAATAATACTGGGGGATATTAACGCTCGAATAGACAACCATGTAGTACCCGGAGTTAAAAAGAACATAACATAATTGTTGAAAACGAAACGATTCAATAACATCCGTGGACAAAGATCTATGAAAGATTATGTTATAACCAACAGCGATATACATCCATCAAAAATTATCGACGTAAGATACCTCAACTCAACGACGTAAGATGTAGGTTGCGACTATAGAATAGTATAATGTTTAATAAGAATCATTATGAAATACTTCACACTCAAGAGAGTCGCACCAACAAAACAAAAACCAGAGTCGAGGCACTAAATACGGAATCTAAACCCCATTACTATTTTTATTGGGAATACGCCACAAGTTTAAAATAATTTTATTATTGACGTTTTAATTTCCACTTTCAAAATCGTTTTCAAAATTCTTTCCAAAGTGGAAATTGAAACGTCAAAAATAAAATTATTTTAAACTTAATTTGTGGCTTATTCCCAATAAAAATAGTAATTGCAATAAGACACAAGAGATTTGTTTCAGAACAAGATTAAGAAAATTCCATAGTTAAGAGAGGGACTGAAGACAAAATGTGAAGAAAAGAAGAACGCCTTTTTAAGAGTATGGTACAAAACACAACAAACACAACAAGCATATAACCACTATAAACGAATCAGAAATGAAACTAATACTTTAGTCAGATAAATAAAAAGAGAATACTGACAGAGCTTCTAAGAACATACAGAACACTATTACAGACTTCTACGGAATACACTAAGAAGTACACTAAAGAAATATGGAGAATGGTCAGAGGACAAGGAAAAAAAATTAACGAACTAATAAAAATGAAACTCATTAAGAAGAAAACGTGGGCGGACCACTTTCGATTCCTATTTGCTAAAAGTGAAAATAATTAACCATCAACACCAGAAGTGACGACAAACGAAGGAGGATGAAGAGATAAAGAAGGCATTAAAAAATTAAAAATAGAAAATCACCAGAAACGGATAGAATACCGAATGAATTCTTAAAGTACGGAAGATCGTATCTCACTAAACAACTATTAAAACTAATCCAAAAAATAATAGAACAAGAAGAATACCACAAGAATGAAGATCAAGCATCCTGATACCTCTCCAAAAAGGCAGACATAATCGGACCCGGAGAATTAAAGAATAATTTATTAAATACAACACTAACATTGACAACCACAGTGATAACAAACAAACTTCATGAAATTATAACACTAGCAGAAGAACAACAAAGTTTTAGATTGGGAAGATCATTCACCGACGCTATGTTTATAATGAGGCAAGTTTAAGAGAAATCAACAGAATACAACAAAGTGGCATATTTGTGTTTTGTGGACCTTAAGCAGGCACTTAATATGGTCAAATTAAAAGAGGCTATCCACGTATTGTACGTAAGAGAGAGATATCTAGAAATAATCAAAACCATCGAAAATATCTACCAAAACAACACCATAAAAGTAAAAGTAAAAAAAGAACTAACTAGCCTAATTGTAGCTGATAATGAGATAAGACAGGGGATTCCATATAACCTCCATTATTCAACCTGGTCATAGATGAAATAATAAAAAAAGTAAAAACTAAAAAAGGATACCAAATGGGAGAAGAATCACTTCACATAATCTGGTATGCAGAATACGCAATACTAATTTCTCAGAGTGAAGATGATTGACAATGTATGCTGCACCAATGTAATATATTTACCAGTAAATTAAACGTGTTAATTTCCCCAAAAAAGACAAAATACGTGGTTATAAGGGCAAATCTACTAAGATATAAATTAGAGCCGAAGATCACATAATAGAACAAGTGATGAAATTTAAATATCTAGGCATCACACTACATATATAGATACGAAAAGCGCTATAGAAGAGAAAGATCAAGTGAATAGAGCAAACACAACCAGAGGTTGTCTGAATAAAACACTATGGAGAAATAAAAATATCGGGAAAGAAATATAAGGTAGAATACAAAACCGTTATTAGACATTATATGCAGCAGAAACACGACCTGGCACAGAGAGGTGTCAGATCTTTTCGACCTCAAAAGAATGCTAGAAACAGCACAGATGAAAACACTTGATAGTGAGGCACTATGGGAAAGAGCTAAATGTACTGATACACGACGTAGATTCAAAGTGGAGAACATCAAGAACTGAGTAAGAAATAGAAGAGTAGAATGGAACGATCATGTAAGCCCAATGTTAACAAATAGAGTGGTAAAGACGGCAAAAAATGGTTCCCCAATAGCAATACGATCAGTAGAAAGACCACAAACGATGGAACGACAACTTACTGAAGGTACATTGAAAAACCGACAGTTATGTCTATACAAAAAGGATAAGAATACGAGGAAGAAAGTGATTTTAGTCATTACAAGGAATTTCCCTAGCACGCTGATAAACTTCACCAGAAGTAGGTAATAGCATTAAAGAAGTAAATTAGGAGTATACACTTGTATGCATCTTGTTAGGTGGATGTTCAGAGAGGGTAAGCTATTTATACTTCTTGTCTTCTAATCAACGAATTCCTCGTTTTTTTATCTGTGCCTTATGTTAACTCCAATAGATCATTCTTGTCTACTATTTATGTACATACCTATCGTATGCTTAATATATTTCTCATATTTTTTCATAGTGGTTCCGAGGCTTTATATTGGTTCTTTGAGCCTTGTTTATTTTTACAATGGATAGGATGCTAACGTGGTCCATCAACCCTTCTGTTTTATCCGAGCTTGGGACCGGCTGTGGGTATGAACGCGGCTTCTGAGCTACTCAATCCTCCAGTCTTCGCGCTCATAACCCCCAGATAGAGTTAAAGAGCTTAAAAGCAAGTAAAGCGACGGGATCTCTTAATGACACAATCTGGGAGAACAAACACCTAAGACAAGACACAAAAACAAGAATCTATAAAGCAGCAATTAGACCTATATTAATATACACGGCGGAGACAAGACCTGAAACATCTAAAACAAGACGACTACTGGAAACAACAGAGATGAAAATACTTCGACGAATATCAGGGAAAAGTCTGCTGAATAGGGAGAGAAGCGAAAACATAAGAAGAGCATGCAATATAAAAGACAAAAATGAATGGGTGACAAAACGGAAACGGGAGTGGAACGAACACATTTATAGAATGGTGGAGGATATGATAGTACGAATACAGATGAATCACCGAATGGACAAAGACGTATTGAGACCAAGAAAAAGATGGTACGGACTACAAGAAGGAAGAAGAAGAACATATGTTTTCATTAATGTGCAGCAATTGTATTATTTGTTCTTTGTCCTAATTTATCTTTAACAGATTATTCTTGTTCACCATCTTCTTATCCTATACTTATATTATCCATAGTTTTCCATTAATGCGCATATGTAGTATTATTTCTTCTATTTCACTTCTACAATGTTAAATCTGGTTTATCTACATACCTACGTAAGAATGGAAAGTTATATTATTGTTTCCAAAAAAATACTTATTTTTGTAAAATATAGTTTTAATTGCAAATCATCTCGCTATATGTTTAAAATATACCAAATATAAAAGAAATGATGAAATTTTATCAATAAATTACGATATAACGAAGATATACAAACTTAATCAACTGACAACGCTGTTTAAGCATCCCCTCCTCTAACATAATTATAAAAGTGATTTTCGCTCTATCTAAATGTAAACAAATCAATTGGGTGTTTAAAAAGTTCGATCGTATCTAGGAGAAATCACTGTGGAGAGTGACTTAGTTCACTGCTGTAGGATATCAGTTGTATTGTAGTTTAAGTGACAATTTTAATCAGTAGTTTATTTAAAAATGGGAAGTGCACAATCAGCTTTAAATTTTGGCGCTGGACCTGCCAAGTTACCTAGAGAGGTATGTACCTATTAATTATTTTTTAATCTAATTAATAAATTTTCTTTTTATAAAAATTATTAACTTCATCGCCGTCTCTTCTTCGACTCAGATGTGGTTTTTTCTCATTTAGGCATATATTATTGCTAAATTACCAATAATTATTGTTTTCTGTGTTATTCTCATTGCATTGCTTAATAAGCTCCTTAAATATTTTTTTAAAGAAAGAGCCCATGTTGACAGACCAGAAAAATTCTGCAGTATCCCAAAAAGTTACATAGTGAAAGATGTCTAAAAATGAAAACGAGACTGGATACACTACTAAGAAAATATTCCAGGCCTTAAGAACTACTTAAAATTGAGTTCAGAGGAATCAGGTATATTTTCACTGGACATTGCTCACTCAAATATCATCATCATCACCCAGCCCTTAGTCCACGCTGGGCATAGACCTCCCTCATTTTTGTTCATTGTGCTCTACCTTGAGCACTTTTCATCAGCATTATACAGCGATATACTCAGCATTGACCTTTTCATTTTCCTCTGAGCTATTTGCAGCGTTTTAGAACTTGTAGCTGTCAATGTCAAAGTTTCGGCACCATAGGTCATCACAGGCAATACATATTGGTCAAATGTTCAACGTTTTAAAGAAATTGGTATATCGCTTTTAAATATGTCTTTTTGATGAGTTTTCCATAGGCTGCACATGCTAGGTTTATTCTTCTTCGTAGTTATCATATTTGGTTGTCTCTTGTGATCTTTATTTCGTGTCTAAGATATATGTATTTTTCCACCAGCTCTATTTCGTTGTCTCCAATATTGATATTTCCGCTATGTACTAGGTTTATCATGAATTTATAGTGAAAACTACGTCGTCTGCGAATTTCAAATTTATTAATCTCCTACCGTCAATGTTCAGGCCTTTCTCTTCCCATTTTAGTTTTTTACAAGCATATTCTAGTACTGCGGTAAACAGTTAAGGTGATAAGGTATCACCCTGTCGGACTCCTCTGCCAATTGGGATATGATCCGTGTTTTCATGTAGTTTCACCGACATCGTTGGGTTCTTGTATGTATTGTAAATTAACCTTGTATATCGGTAGTCAACGCAGCATGCTTGTAGTACTTTCAAAATGTTGTCAAATTGTACCGTGTCAAAGCCTTTATGGAAATCTACAAAAGCCAAAACGAGTGGTTGATACTCAAATATTATCTATTTTAAAATAGGCGAAGTAGGCAGATTCAGCAAAAATAGAGATGTAAAGGCCGAGCATAGTTATTTGCATCTGTCAAGTAATTATTCTAAATATCTAAACCATAATTCCTAAACCATAAATATATGGAACGGTCTTTTTAACATCTAACCAGGTATCAAATTCTTCTTCTTCTTCAAGTGCCATCTTCGTTCCGAAGGTTGGCGATCGTCAGGGCTATACGTATTTTCGAAACTGCTGACCGAAATAATTCGTTGTTGCTACAGCTATACTAGTCTCGTAGATTCTTTAGCCAGGAGTTTCGTCTTCTTCCTATGGACCTTTTTCCTGCTATTTTCCCTTGCATAATTATTTGAAGCAGTTCATATATTTCGCCTCTTGTAATGTGTCCCAAGTATAGCAGTTTTCGTTTTTTGATCGTAAATATAACTTCCTTTTCTTTATTCATTCTTCTCAAGACCTCGACATTTATCGGTATCAAATTATGTATTTCTAAAATATAATAGGCTTTCTTTGCAGTAGATGATTTAAATTAAAGGATCGAAGTAAAATATACACAAAAAAATTGTTTAGGTCGTACCTTTGAAAGGCCTTCTAGATATCGTTCTAGATTTCAAGGTTTCTTTGAAATAAATAATCTTACTCCATAGATGTATAAAAGTCAACTGTCGTCTAAAACAGAGAGATCACTCCACCTTTTCATTGTTTTCTTGTTCTCTGCTATCTTGCTTCACAAGTTATTATGTGATTTCGCCCGGCTTCATTTCTTTCTATTTTTGTTCTTCTGTTAGGTATCTTTATTCTGTTAATATTCCTGTCTAAGTTGATCTTCCTATATGCGTTCGGACTCCCTCTAGGTCTTTGATTTGTACCTAGTTTTCAACTTAAATATTTTCTTTATTAATTATTCTTCTCGTCTTTATACATACCCGAGAAATTTCAGTTTTTGAGTTTTATATGTCTGAAAATATCATGTCCATGTATCTGGTTATTCATGTCGTTATATAATTATATAAACTCTCCACCTTAGATTTGTTTGTCCAAAAATTCTTCTGAGGATCTTTGTTTCTATTATTTTTAGCTTCTCTTCGTCTCTATTAGTCAGGCAAATTGTTTTTGTTTTATATAGTTTATTTTTGGTGATGTTACTGATATGTCTGTGTTAGAACTTTTTGATATTTCTAATATGCTCTTGCCGGCTTTTACCTTTCAGTTATTTCTACGCTGCTGTCGTAGCTGCTTGAGTTTTCTATTACTAGATCTAGATACTTAAACTTAAATCTCTCTACTTTTTGAGATATATATTATTCAGTCTGTACATTATCTATGCTACAATTTTACCTTGAGGTTAACACAATTATTGTTCTATATCTATCATTAACTCTTTGTATAAAATTACAGCTAACCTATCTTTCTCAGTTTCGTCTTACTATAACATATCTTTCTCTGTTTCTTCTTACTAGTTTTTCACAGATTTTTAACACTTTGGCACATATTAGTTTTGGCTATTAATAATTTCTTAAAGTCTTTTAATACTAATTGAAACTTTGTTTTTAACTCTCAGTAAAGATTAATTATTACATATTGACAAAATGGGAACACTAAAAACCCCAATAATCACTAATGATTTAATTAGTAGATTAGAATACTTGGACTATAGGTTTTTAATTATATTTTCCGAAATAAAAATATTTATGATTAATACTAGTAAAACAACAGGACAAGCACCTACAAAGTGGGTCAATGACGTCAAGAAAAAAGCAGTAAAGTATCACAAGCACTTACCGCTAACTATAAACATTTAGAGGTTAGGATGGGTCATAATTGTTATTGCAGAGTTTTTTGAAAACGATTTTGGACTGGAAATTGAAAAGTCAAAACAAATGTAAAATGTATATCTCTATGTTCTTATTTTCTATTCAATTGTGTTTAGATTTATATTTCATTCATTCATTTATATTAAAGACTGTCAAAGTCCGTACTCACAAAAAAATCGTCCGTACTGTCAAAATCGTAACTGTTCTAGCAATAGTCAACCTTTTACGTATCTGTCTGTCACACCCTCAAAAATTGGAAATATAATGGACCACAGGAGTGATGACGTATATTTGATTGACATCTGCCAGTTTCACTTTCCAAACAAACGTTGTTTAGTGTGGATAATTTGTATTTTTCGTGATTTTTTCATTTATTTTATAGAATCTTTCCGCTTTTTGCAATATTTAAGTATTCTAATAGTTACTACAACAATTTTACAAGGTTGTGTAAATAATAAAGCACATTGTTTTGTGCTAATAGGAATAAAATGAAAGTATCAATAAAGTAAGGTTAAAATTTCTTTAATTAAACTTTTAAACCATATTTCATAGAAATAGAACTCTGAATTATGACGGTATTATCGTAAAACACTATACTTACAAGAAAAAGCAGCAGGGGAAGCAAAATGTTAACTTTATAGGAATTAAAAAGTCTTGAGATTTGACATTTCAACGTTTGTTTGGAAAGTAATAATGACAATGTGACGTCACACTCCTGCGGTCCATTGGAACAAATTTTAAAAAATGGAATATAAAGCAATAGGTATATATTGTTTTATATTCCAATTGCACGTTTGTTTATTGGAACTAACTTTCCAAAATAGAATAATACAAGTTTCTGTAACTATAGCTGCTTGACTAAAATATTTTTGGTTTAAATTTTTTGATAGTTATTTGTTGTCTGCGTTACCGTCTGCGTAGATGTTTTCCTGCTCCTCAAGTTTCCTCGCAAATATTTCTTTTTAAGAATCCACCCGTAATGTATTATAAACAGTTAAGGTTATTCAATTCATTGTAATTTATTTATTCATTGTAATCATTGTAATTTATATGTGCGTTTATTAGCCGTATAGATAACTGGTAGGTAACAGCGCAAGTTGCTTAGTAACTACATACTTTCGATTGATATTGAGTTCAAAAGTAAAAACAACTATACAAGGTTATACGAAGATAATCAAGGTAACTGCTATCTCAGGCCATTGACAATTATAAACATATATGATAGACATCGATGTATTTAAATAAAATAATAGTAAATAGAAATAATATCTTATATATATATATATATATATATATATATATATATATATATATATATATATATATATTGTAGTTTTGAGTTTCTTGAATGACAGTAAACAATGAGATATCAGATATCAACTTTTACATGTCAGTTCGGTAATATCTGTGTCACGTTTTACGTTTTGGTAAGTCATATATATATATACATATATACATATTTTACAATATCTGTTTGTCCTTATATATATACACATTTTAGAATCTTGACAAAGGCCAGGGTTTCTGCCGAAACGTTGATTGATTGCAATGGAAAATAAAATCTAGTTCCACATGTAACATATCTTTATTGAAACTAAACCCAAGAAACATTAATTTTATATTAATTTTATATTATATTACATATATATATATATATATATATATATATATATATATATATATATAATGGTCACAAAATTTATCTTTATAGATAATTTAGTAACTTTTTATTCGAATACATTGTGCGAATTTCGGATCATACATTCATAATAATGCTGTGACTATTGTTATCCAAGCTGTAAATAAATTCTGGTGTATAAGCTTTTGCTGTCCATTTTATATCGATCGCACAAAATAGTCTAGCAGTTTATCAAAAAAACTGAAAGTTCAATTTATACTCTGATCGACCTGCAATACATCCTCCATCCCAGTTTTGGTCCAAAAGATCCAAGAAGATAGATCTTAGAAGAGACTTCTAAAAAGACCATCT